CACCTGCTTCTTGGTATGAGATGTCATCTCTAGCCCTTTTCTTCAGTATTGTTAGCTCCTTTCAAATAAAAGGACAGTCCTTCGAAGAGGCATCATGTGGCCCATTGCAGTTTGAGCACTTCAGAGTCGTGGCCTGACACGCGTCCTTATTGTGGTACCCATTGCATCGGCAACAGATAGTAGAGTTCGTGCACACACCACTTACGTGACCTAACTACATGCGCTTCCAGCACTGAAGTGGTTCCAGCACTCAACTGCGTGTCGGAAATGGCCCACTTTTACGTGTGATGGAAGTGATTCGCCCTTACATGTAATTCTCACGCATCGTGATGTCCCGATACGACATATACTTGTAATAATTGGCATCTTCCGAAGCCGGTCTAATCAAGACTGGTAGGTCCGAGTTGGTAATGGCTTCGGCAACATCATATATCACCCTAGTGTTCACTTCTTTGCCTAGCGATATATGAATGCGGACTTTCATCCCATTGAGTTCCGTTACTTCAGGCTGTTACGCCTGGGAGTCCACACCGAACGTCAATGCCTCTGCAAGGCAATCTGTGTCAAGGCCAGCGATCGAGCCCACCTGACACAATCAACTCAACGAGGTCATCACGTGGCCGCGCCGGTCTGTCTTACGCAACCCACAGTGAGCTCCCTCAGCCCGCGAGCCCGCTAAAGCAATCAGCCCCTTCCAGTCTGGCGAGTCTTACGCAATGCGTGGCAACGTCACTCGTCCTAAGGTGCAACCAAGCGCAGCGGCTCCAGATTTGATGATCATGACGCGGCCCAGCGGCGGGTCTCATTGAAGGATTCTGACATAACAGCGAGCGACGCTTCTTGTTGGACGTTGGTGACGTAAATATCCACCCGGTGCCTATGAAAAAACACCAGCGACGCGTCCCCAGCAAGCAGTTGACCTATGCGTCAGGAATAAGCCGATAAATGTGTGCGAGAAAAGACATCTCGTTGCTTCAAGCCCATTCCTTGTCAGCGCGGCCGTTGTCCTTGTAAGCGGCGAGTTTCGTGACGCCCACCGTAACCTCGTCGGCGGTGCGCTTCGTAATAGTGGATGGCAGCTGCGGGATCGTCCGGCGTCAGCGAAATCAATGCGGTGAGTGCCTGATGCTTTTCCCATCAGTTCACTAGACTACTCTAGCACAGATTATAGTAGTTTAGAGAAAGACTGTGTGAAGCATTAGAGTGAGCTTTGATCATTTCAAGTCACGTCGGAGCGCTTTCAAACCATTGTTATTGCGAAAGGTGTAAACACAGCAGTGTTAAAAATTGCTTGCGCGTCTTCCTAGCAGAATTATAGTGGGTACGGCAAGTAAATTCTTAACAGGGGCAAACTGTAAGAGGCTGGCGGGAACGATGGAGAACCCTAAAGTGAAGGAACTAATCGAAATTTGTGAGGAACTTGGCCTTACTTTGGGCCATGCGAAACAAAAGCAAGTGATCCTTGAGATCATGAAGGATGAAGAGGTGACAGCTGAGGAAGTCGAGGAGGCCTGGGCGGATATCAAAGCACGCCACGAGGAGGCTGAAAGGCGAGAAATAGAAGTTCGCGAACGCGAAGAAGGTGAAAGGCGAGAATTTAGCGAACGCGAAGAAGATGAAAGGTGAAAAGTTCGCGAACGTGAAGAAGCCGAGAAGCCGAAAGGCACGAACGTCGCGAGCATGAGGAGGCCGAGAGACAGAAGCACGTGGAGTTGAAACGAATAGAATTGGCAATCCTACAGTGTTCGCAGGCGCCTAGCGTAGCTTCTGCGACAGTTCAGGTGAGCGGTTACAGAATTTGGGACCAACTACAACCATTCGTACTTGGCGAGGACATGCCGAAGTATCTCGTCAAATGTGAACATGTCTGTGAGCGAAATGCTTTGTAGTGGTCTCTTTGGGCGCCGAATTTGTCAGTTCTTCTTCCCGGCGAAGTGTCCAACGTAATAACGTGCTTGTCGAGGGAAGCGTTTAAGAGCTATGACGAGGTTAAGGAAGTGCTCTTGAGACATAAGTTGTCACCCGAGACTTTCAGGCAAAGGTTCGGGTATGCTAAAAAGGGAAATGAGTCACACGCTGGCTTCGCGTTTGGTCTTTAAAACGATTTAATTGAATGGCTCAAGGGCGCAGGTGTTTATGATGATCGCTGCATCGAGGAGGGTGTCAAGCTTTGGCTGCAGGACAAACTTGGTTAAGTACAGCTAAACAAGGCAGCAGAGTTAGCTGAGGAGTATTATACTTGCCGAAAGTTGCATAGCAGGGCAATGCGCGCTGAAAAGGATGAAAGAAAAGAGGGCTTTTCAAAGAAACTTGATCAACAGAAACGCGCTCCGCACCGTAATTTCAGGAAGAACCCGTCTCTTACGAAGGACACTGTCGTGGAAGGGCAAACGGAAGCCGAGAAACTAGTGAGGTTCTTAAACAACGCACTGATTCCACATGGGCGTTTGAATCACGGAAGCCGCTAATCTGCTACAACTGCAGAAAGGAAGAGTACATCGCGATAAACTGTAAGCAAACGTTTGCTTTCGCAACAATCCGAGACTCGGAAAAGAACATGCGGTTGTTAGAGCCATATCTACAAGAAATAAATGTGAATGGGAAACATGTCGAGCACTTCGAGACTCAGCGGCGACCATGGACGTTGTCCATACTTCGTTGGTGTCTCCGGATGAGACAGAGAAATAACTTTATTGGGTTGAAAAAAAGAAGGGGTTTAGGAGCTAGATGGGTGGGGCCCTATGTCCAAGGCTCCACTGGCTTACGCCGCCTGCCGGACGTGGTCCAGGAGTGCTAGTTGCACCTCCGGGTCCGAGCTAGCGAGGAGTGCCTCCAATTGCTCCAAAACTTTTACCATTTATACATACGCTGTAAGCGATCGAGTTCATTTGGCCGCTTAGCCCAACTTCACGAGATATAGTGAAGGGTCGTTGGCGAGTCGCGACACTACGGACAATCACGCCCTTACAAGCTTGGATGAATTTTGTGCAGTCGGGACAAATTTGGATAAACTCCCGTTTGAATTTTATGGAGGTATATGGCGTCTTCCCTTTTAAGAGATTTGTGGGAAGCGCCATATTTCTGCCATGTGCATCGCTGGTGAGCAAAAAGCTCTCGCGGAGCCATCCAAGCCGGGTCGTTTTTCTCTTCCTCGCGAAAGCCGTCGTGCGTAGTGCTGGGTAGTGGTAACAGCGAAAAAAGCTGCTGCTCCACTCGGTTCGCGAGTGCTCGAGCTAGGGCGTCCGCCTTCTCGTCACCCTCTAGGCCTGCATGTCCCGGGCACCAGACTAACCTGTAAGTGTTGCTCAACTCGCCGCCTAAAAATATACAGATGTTTAATGCGAGGCGGCCTTTCGTGAATAGCCGGCACGCCTCTTGCGAATCTGAGAGTATGGTGATGTACGTCTGGCCGTCGTTGCGCTCTCGACTTTTAATCGCCAATGCGATGGCGAAACACTCGGCCTTGGTGATCGATGTAGGGTACAGTGATGCGCTGGACACCATGCTTCCCGTGTCGCTGCATATCATTGTGACAACGCAGCGCTTCCAGTTATACCTGGAAGCGTCAACGCATAGCACGTTCTCATTGCCTCTGACTAATTTTCTGATCCATTTTACACACTCCTCTCGCCTTTCGTGATGCCGCTCCTTGGTCATGTTCCTGAAGATAGGGGCGATCGAAATATGTCGTCGGACTGGGTGACTTTACAGGATAATGCGCGTGGATCAGACAAGTCGCCGAGGAGCAGTGCGGTTGCTTACAAATCGCTACGGTTGTCATTGAAGGCTCGTTCAGTAAGCTTCGGACAAAAGGGGCTGTGTCTGCCACGCTTCCCGACCGTTTTCTTTGTCTATTTACTAATAACTCAGAGCAGAGCAGCTTCTCAAAGAGAAGGGTAAATCGTTCTTCTCCAACTTAGCGTACATGACCCTCACGCAATCGCAAGCGCGGAAGCTTTCGCAAGAACTTGATCTTGTTCAATGTGGTGAAGCACCACCTGCAAAACTGCTGATCTGTGTGACCTTGGCGGCGAGTCGACGGAACCACAGACAGGAAATTCTCCGTGTGAGTCATTTGAGCAGTCACTCGAGCGTCCCGTCGCTGAAGTGACTGGCGCGGTTTCTGTCGGTGGAGGAGACGACATGGTGCCATTGAGTCAGAGCGAGAGGGGTGCAACGCTCTCGCCTGTAGCGGAAAGTTGAAGTGAGCAGTCGAGGGTTAATTGAGAAACGCTCATTCGAGAGCAGCGTGAGGACCTCTCGATTAAAGCGCTAATGGAAAGCGTAAAGTTGGGAACTAAGAAAAAGAATATTTCTTTTTATGAGAAATCAGGGCTCCTATATCGTAGTTACACAGATATGCAACGTCACAAGTATGAGCAGCTCTTCGTACCGCATAGGTATCGTCGCCTAAATGTGGCCAGTTACTGAGGTGAAGCATGATACTCCAACAGCACAACTTTGACGTTCGCTACAAAAAAAAAAGCTAAACGCTAATGCAAACGCATTGAGCCGTGCGTTTTAGTTAGTACCTTCTCCACCTTATGGTATCTCGCTGGCCATTCGGGGCAAAATTTTGTCCTCCTCATGGCCTTAGCTCAGCGCTCTCATCCAGAGTGATCTCAAGGGGCCAACTTTATGCTGTATTCTATTTTATTAAGTTGTTGTATGTGTAAAAATTTGAGTTCTCAATTTAAGAGTCTTGTGTCCCACATGTGCCTCTTGATGTAAAGAGAACGAAATTCCTATAGACACGTAGCTAGGTATATGTTGTATTATATTTTGTCTGGTGTTCTGTCGGGTAACCGAGGGCACATGCTTGTGTCGTGTGTTTTGTGTTGTCGAAACGTTCTTGACAAGTTGCAGAACCATCGACAAGTGCTGAGACCGAAAATTGCCAGAAGAGACGAGCGAAGCTGGCCGACAAGTTATGGTTACAAGCCAGTGGAACTGGGATCCGTCCTCAAGGAATGGATGTGTTCAGAGAACTGAGCCTAGAGCTACATTTTCCCAATGGCCCTGGGGGCAAACCTGTAGGGACCTGGCCAACGAGCGTGCCCGACATCCGAGCCACGTGGAAGCAGCTCGTCTTTCTGACGCATTGTGTGGCGGCGAGGTGCTGATACGGCTGGGAGTCCACACCGAACGTCAATGCCTCTGCTAAGACAATTTGTGTCAAGGCCAGCTATCGAGCCCGCCTGACACAATCAACTCAACGACGTTATCACGCGGCGGCGCTGGTCTGTCTTACGCAACGCACAGCGAGCTCCCTCAGTCCACGAGCACGATGAAGCAATCGACACCTTCAAGTCTCGCGAGTCTTACGCAATGCGTGGCAACATCATTCGTCCTTGGGCGCAACCAAGCGCAGCGGCTCCGGATTTGATGATCATGACGCGGCCCAGCAGTGGGCCCCGTTGGAAGCTTCCGACATCACGGCCAGCGGCGCTTCTGGTTGGACGCTGGTGAAGCGAAAATCCACCCGGTGCATATAAAAAAAGTCGAGCGGCGCGTCGCCAGCAGTTGACCTATTAGTCAGAGAGAAGTCGACGTATGCGTGCGAGAGAAGACATCTCGGCTTTTTGAGTCCCTAAGCTGTCGGTCCCAGTGCCGGATATGCAACACCTCTAGTTCTAAGATGTACATAAACCTTGCCTTAACTCACCGTCGTCTAGTCCGCTCGTCTATCAGCTCTTCGCAGAAGCAGTCACGAGCTGAGTAACACACGCTACCAAACGGCTGGTGACCTTGGCGGTGGAGTTCGGAGCCGTGGCGCCTTCGGGACCATGTTGGCGTCGCGCCTTCGCAACAACGCAATCTGTCAAGCGCAGTCACATGAATGACATCAATCACTAGGATGTTCTTGCGGCTATTCGCTCTTACTGCTTTTACTTCATTCGGCATCAGTGCTTCTAGCTGTGCAGACACGGCTTGCCGGTTAAGGCATCTCATGTTTTCACTAGTGAGAACATGCTTGAAAAGGATGGTTAATACCTCGGTATTCCGCAAAGATCGCATGGTGGGCTCACTCGAATTTGTTGACGTACTCAGAAATCGTCTTTCTCTCTTGCGGTTTCTGATGAGCTCGAAGTTGTCGTCCCCTGATTCACCACTACTGACGCTGTAGGGTTCGGTGTCATCACTGTCAGTGCAACTCTCGGAGCTGTAGCACTTCCTGGAAGGAACACCCGTGGTCATGCCGGTCTCCAGTAGTCTTCCATAGGCTCTACCTCCATCGCACATCTGCAGGAGACTGCGCTTGACAGGCGAAATAAAAATTAATCACAAAATTCAAGGAAGTCAAACATTCGGCATTCTGCCACACCGGCACTATAGTGGGGGACTACGGAAATTTTGGCCATCTGGTCCTGATGTTCTTTAACGTGCAGTGACATGGCACAGCACAAAGGCCTTCACCATTTTGTCGCTAACGAAATGCGACCGCCAGGACCGGGGTCAAACCCCCGATGTACAGGTCAGCAGCAGGACACCGTAACCACTAACCCACCGCGGCGCATACAGTCAAAACGGACATGTTACACTCTAGCTCAGGGCTTGCTAAGCCAACGCCTCTTCTTCAATTATTTGAGTTTTTATTTAGGAATATTAGCATAGCAGCTCATGTGTAAATGTGAAGAGGCAAGCTATCTATCTCGCGTCTGGCCTCCAAATTTCGCGCCACAAAATGTATCATTCGTAAGCAAAGAAACCCGATTATATTCCGAATAAAGGACAGAACGAAGCTAGTCGATGCGTTCATACACAGTAAATACTACTGGGCCATGCTATTGAGGGAGGGGGGAGGTATCCTGTTTAGACAATGCTTCTCAGCATTTCGCATATTAAATTTTTTGTGGTTTAAATAAAAAATAAAATAGTGCGATCCGTACTTTCTTCGTCGTCTTCCATGGAGGATGAAGCTGTCTGCACAAGATCCACGACCGCAATGACGATTGGCGCCATGATTGAAGTTGACGCTGTATTCGGTATCCACACTGACAGTGCCATAGTGACCAGCATGAACCCGAGCAGCAACCTGAATCGATGTGAAAACGAATTTTCAAAATAAATTTCCGGGCCGTTACTTCCATGTATGTTCGTCGACACATTTGCAGGGCTCGTGTTCACAAAGCTCTCGCGAAGAAGCAGTTCATAATGAACTTAGCCACCACAATTGCCATTTTTTCAAAGTTACGTGGTAAGTGAAAATTTGATTCCAAGAACAAAAACTGTTAGATGTGCGCAGCTGTTCAAAATGGCGTTCAACAGTCCTGGTGCCTTTTTCAGGCCCGTGCCAACAGAATTTCAAAGTTTTTACGAATGACTCTGTGCTTACATCGCGACCCTGTCAGAAGTCGTTCTTTGAACCGCACTAAGCGCTCTAGTTTGATATGTCACCCTGCACAACTTGGTAGCTTTGTATGAAAGTCATTAATGCAGGGTAGCATATCGGATGCTACAATTCTGGTTGACATCCCTGCTTTTTCTCTCATTTCATTGTTTTTCTCTCTGCCTCTCTCTGTCAAGTTGCTGTGTAGAACATGGTATGGTCGTACACTCGTCTGTGCCGGCGACATTAGCAATAGCAAGTGGTACAAAACTGGCTGGATATGACCACGTACAGATATGATCATTATGCATTGTCGTGTCCAAGGAGGATTAAAGAAAAAGTGCTGGAGTGGAAGCTCCCGCAATGCCTTGCCAGCAGAAGTGAAGCCATCTTTTGCCACTGCCAAGATGGCGCAAACATGCTCTTTTCTGATAGCGCCCACTTGAAGATCAAGTGGCCTCGGTATGTTATGTAAATTCTACGTTAGTTCTATATTAAAGGAAAGTTGTTCCCGACAAAACAACACAAAGAAACGAATATGGGTGACTTAATCTTCAAAGAACTTTGCCTCCGATTAAAGGCTCACTAAGGAAAAGTAGTAACTGTAATACGCACTTGGAGCGCTATGTGACCCGACGAAGTTCACACATTAAACTCGTTGGGCGTGCAAAGGAAACGCTTCGTGTTTAATCGCTGACAGATGATACTTTATCATGCCCCTAGTAAGATGGCCGCCACAGTCGCCATCTTGCCAGAGGAACGACTTCACTTTTGCGCAACCATTTCCACTCCAGCAACTTTTTTAATCCTCCTTGGTCGTGTCTACTTGAATCCTACCGAGTTGACAGCTGCTTTCGTCGTCAGAGCCACATCCTTTAGACAAGTGTCCCAACAGCCTTGACATCAAAGTCGAAGGAACGTAGTTTTTCCTTATTGCCCATGCGAGGTGGACCCCAAAGGCAGCGCACTTGACAGGCAACATCTCTAAATGCATTTCCAGCAACTGAAGGCAAACGCAACTTATTAAATGTGAAGCATTTCTTAGCGAACTTCAGCGACTTTGAGCATATCTATCTATCTATCTATCTATCTATCTATCTATCTATCTATCTATCTATCTATCTATCTATCTATCTATCTATCTAGCCGCCTGCGACATTTAGCTCTCTTGCCGCTTCGATAACGGTGATCGATACTAAACTGGTATGGCGTAACATGACTGTATGAAGAACATATCTGATTAATCATAACATGAAAATCATGACATGTATGTCATGAATGTCAAAATTTACATTTCATGGCCTTGCAGCTTTTGCGGTGGATTTCGTTCACACGGCATGTTGCAACACTGTATGGTATGACATGATTGCATGGCGAACACAAGCGACAGACCCTTACATGAAAATCATGACATGCGTGTCATGCAACACAGACTACGTTCCACGCTAATGATGCGCTCGCGGCAGTTTCGCTAGCGTCACAAATACCAAACTTGGTATTACGGTACGTGAATGGATGACAAAGGTTTGTGACTGGTGCAAACATGATAAACATGAGATGCATGTCATGTGACAATATGACTACATGCTGCGCTCATGATGCGCTCGCGGCCGTTTCGCTAGCTTCACATATACCAAACTTGGTATTACGTGACGCCAATGAATGACAAAGGTATGTGGCTGATGTAAACGTGATAATCAATAGATGCGTGTCATGTGGGAACGTGACTACATGCCACAGTCAGGAAGCCAAGTGTCATGTGGGAACGTGACTACATGCCACAGTCATTTCGAAGTCACGCGGTGCACATGCTCGCCGGCGTTGCCATGCCAGGCACCGGTCCTGCCTTATACTCGCAGGTGCACGCCGCGCTGCGTTGCTTTGGCGCATGCGCATTTCAGCACGTCCGGCGTCCCTCCGTCAGGAAAAGAGGGAGACGCAGTGTTGTCTGGGTAACGCATGGGCGCGAAATGGAGCATGTCGCATTTCGCGCCGGTTGCCGTCGGGCCACGCCGACGGACGCTGGTCGCACCGGTCGCGCCTGGCGTCAGACAATAGAATGCTCACGTTTTGCTAACGTAGCGTCGCTGTGCCCAGCGTGCGCGCGTGTCAAAGCTACATTGGAGTATATTGGGCCCTTCATAATGCGCTCGCGGCCGTTATGCTAGCTCCACATATACCAAATTTGGTGTTACATGACGTCAATGGATGACAAAATATATGACTGGTGCAAGCATGATCATCCTGACACGCGTGTCATGCAAGAACATGACAACATACCACGCTCATAGCGGGCTCACAGTCGTTTCGCTAGCTCCACATATACTAAATTTGGTATCACGTGTCGTGAATCGACAACGAAGGTAAACGACACATCCAAATATAATAATCATGACACGGAAGTCACGCACGGCATCATTTACATCCCCCTCGTAACGTTGTGCTGATTTTAAAATGATATATCAACCTTTATCATTCGTGCTTCGCATATCATCGATTCCCACTGTACGTTAGACCTGCCAATTTTTTCTATTTTGATTATATTTTTTTCATCGCGGGTTCTCATTGTGCAGGGCAAAAAAAAACTATAGACCATTTCCACGAAGAGAATCCTGATGAGATGCGAAGCAGCAGTGGTGCGCACGGCGTTGACCCGGCTGGAACGAGCATCGGTGTGGGTGCTCGAAAAACGGTTTGAAGCGAAACTGCGTGTAGCGTTTACTGGAATAAACGTTTGTTCGAAACGCAAAGACGCGTGGACGCGTCGAAGACGCTTGCGCTTTGCTTCCTTGGCTCGCGTCTCGTCGGTGTTACCCAAGCGCCGTCTCTATTCTCGAACGCGATCGGCGTTCTTGACTCGCACCTAATCGGTGTCATTGGTCTTCCACTGCCGAGCGCGACTTTACCATTCGCGAACGCAATCGGCTTCGCTAATCTGCAACTCTGGCGACAGCCGGGAAAGGTAAGCACACACTAGCGGGAAGCATGCTCCGGCGGCGTCCCGCCCGTCGGTGTGATCGTGGGGCAAGCAGCGGCGGTCTTTCCACATACCGGCGCCGCGGGACCACGGCCGGGCTAGACAACGGTGAGCGAGTGCGCGTAGCGCGCCAACCGTGGCTTCTTCTCGCCGTCAGATGGAGAGAGGTGGCGCGGATGAGGAGATGATGCCGACGTGACGAGTGGGCTCGAGCGTTGCTGGTGGTGGAAAGGGTAAAGCGAGTGAGATGACACGCAGCGAATGGCGGCAGGCTATGGAGAGAGTAACGTCACCCACGCACACTGCGAGAGAACGCATGGACTACTTGACACCGCCCCGGTGCGGAGGGACGGCGTTACACAGGACAGTCAAAGAGCTGCTTCACATATAGAACACAGCATCTCTCGTCAACCTGCTGCCATTCCTTTCTGCTTTCTCTATCTTTGTAATATCAGTCCTACATGGTAATTTTTAGGGTCATTTTATTGTATTGTATCTTAATAAAGAATGCAATGTGCACATATCAGAGGCAGCAGAATTTTACAACTGCATGACCAGGATAATTGAATATGGAAATGTGCCTTGCTTCGTGTAAGTATCATTAGTTGGCTGCTATCACATGGGAAATTTGTTCTTTCGGTGTAATGAAAAATACTTTCTGTAAAGGAGAGAGCGGAAGTTGTAAAGCGAAAGTATGAATGCCTCACTTACCTAAGATTGCTTGTTCCTATTGTGAGCAATGATTTCAGCGCTATTCTCTTGTGTAGGTTACTTGTCTCTACAGCTCCAGCCATAATGAGAGAGCAGAGCATAACCATACCAATTTCCTGCGTAAATATAAAATGGAGCAACACTATATTTCCGGTTGTCTTAAGTCATGCACTACCAAAAGAACGTAAGTATTTTTAATAGCGGAGCTGTTTAGGCTCGGGGTAGCACCGTTGTGGTCCGCGCGAAATTAGGTTGGTGTTCACCACAGAAAGCGGATATGTACGAAGCAGCTTCAATAGGATAGCATAGCCTTTCGCACTATAGTAAAGCAAGTGGATGGGAAAGGGAATAAGAGCTGCAGAGAAGAGAAAGGAGGGGAGAATGCGAAGCATGGCCCGACCTTGCAGAGTAGCTTATGCGCCGCTGATCGAGGGCATCTGCTAAGTAGCTCATAGCATCGCATAGCCATGCATAGTAGGCTAAAACAAAGGGGTTGGGAAAGGAAAATGTGGAAGAGAAGGATGTGAAAGAGAGGAGAAAGAAAGAAAGACAGAGGAAGCTAAAGCATGGGATGTATAGCATAGCTCAGCAACGCGATGGGAAATTGAAGGAGAGGAGGACTGACATACGAGTGAGAAGGAGAGAACGGGGAGGGAGATGTGGTGTTGAGATGGTAAACTATAGCGCAGACACGTACAGAATAGCATAGTAAGGGGTAGGGAAACCAAACTGAGCATGGCTGAACTGATGGTTAGGAGTACGGGAAAGGGTCATATAGAAAAGCATAAAGATAGATAAAAAAGAACTGCGATCGAGAAAGACAAAAATGAAGGAAATGAAGAAAGAACTCTATCTGCATTCACCAGGTGCAGTGGCGCGCACTTGCCAGCAGCACTGTTCGCTGAATGGTTATAGGGTTGGAACCGAGTTATATTTTTTTCGCGTACTGCATCAGCTTTATTGAAGAATATAGAACCCGACTTAAAATTGACATTCATCACTAAAATTTTTGTCATCTTAGGAAAGGAGAATCCAGAGACTTAAATGACATTGTTTCGTAACGTCCCGGGCGCCGGACACGAGTGTTCAGTGTATTCACAGCAACACAGTCCAGGACGAAACGCTGACACCTGGTTGTCACATCTTTTTTTCTGCGTCTTCTCAATCATGATTGAAATATATTTTGGGGAATGAAAATAATGGTTACCAGCAGGTATCGATATTTTTCCTTTTCATTGCTGCCAAAGTATCAGTACCCCACTGCTGATACACGCACTATTCCTTAAGGAACAGGCTTGTTACGATGCGCACGGTGTCATTTTGATTTCCACTCTGCTTGATCAACGATCGTCGACAGCTTTCGCACTTTTTGACACACAAACATAGAAATAAATAAGACCTGGGTTGCGGTGTTATTGACTTGGACTTTATACGTGACATCGCAGCAACGGCAAGATGTGCCTGCGTCTTTACACAATTACGATACGAAATATTTGCGACACAATATGGCAGCACTTACGTTGAGATAGAAGGCGACCACCTTCTGCGAATTCAGTATCCCGAAAAACGGGAATAGGAAGACAGGCATCAGTGCGGTAGCCGCCAGTGGAATCGCTTCGGCTGACCAGTAGAAGGCCATCCAGAGCAGAATGTACGCGCACCATCCTGCCTGCATTGTGGGTTCATGAAACAGAAAATTTTATCTGGGAGAGTCGTTCAAATCGCAGATGCACCTCATAAAGGTGCGGCTATAAAACCAATGTCGTAATCTGTTCAGTCCGTATTTTTTGATAAATCCAATCTCTATGGTGCTATTGAGGGTGACTCCTTTATGGTCAATCATCGTCGTTTTGTTTTCACTCATTTGTGTGTGTGTGTGTGTGTGTGTGTGTGTGTTTGTGCAGATGTTGGCTCGTCTTGGTAGCTTATACTTGAGCATTCTATTTCAACGACATTCGCTTACATTAACACTGCAATCTCCGAAAATATCAGCCGGCACATTACAAAGACATTTTTTTCACGGGATTCTGTACCCTCTTTATCACCTACTCTTTGTGGCTAGCGTCTCATGGATGGTCTTATCTTTCTGCGATGTATGTTCTTTACTCGCCTCTTCCCTTCCTCACAGCGCGAAGTAATGTGTCATTATAAGCTACAGAAGGCACAGGCACTTTTGTTTTGCTAATGAGAACGACTGACCTGAGGTAAGTCCGTCGGGAGGGCCCCCAAAGACGACAAAACAACAGCATAGGCATGAAAAATACCCATGCACCATTAAAGCATTGTTTCGTTTATTTCTCCATCTATTGATTTTTGCCTCCATCTGCTCAATAGGGAGAAAATACTTGCATTTCCATAGCACCTAGTTGCTAGCCTGCTCGTACGCTGGTTAACCTCAGCGCCTTTCCTTCCTATTTTCCCGGATTCTCCCGTTACGATGTTTAGTGCTAAACAAGAAAAAATGAAGAAAATACCTTTCCATCAACGTACATGGCCACTGGTAGCAGCAGCAAGGGAACGCCGACGATGTAAAGCGCTCGCCACGATTTGCCGAGAACTCTCGAACTGAGAGCCATTTTGGCTCGAAGCCTTTCTGCAGGAAGAAGTGAAAATTAGCCCAATTATGAAAAAAAAATATTGATTACCCCGGAGATGTCGCCCTGTCAGCATGTCTAAATTTCCGTAAGCAAGACTGATTTTTGCGAGTTGATACATGCTTAGCTAGGGAACAACGGCGTAAAAAGAACAACGAGGAAGGAAGGCAGTACAATCGATGAGCGCTGAATTGCAACTGACATCTTGTAGCACCAACCGCTCATTTTTACAGCGTACCAAACTACACAGACCTTTCCAATCAGAACCGCCATATCAAAACCATCAGGTAGGAAAAATACATTGTCAGTGAAAGTGAGCAGATGTACTTGAATTATACCGTGCGCACACATCTTCCACACTCATATAAAATTAACCCCAGTGAAGACCAATAAAGCCAGGAATTAACAAGAATTAACAAGCAACAGACAAAAACAACAATCAGCAGTCCATTTGCGAGACACCCTTTAACCAAGATAGCAATGTTTGTGAGTGAATTGATGAAAAATCAGCATCGAGGAAAATCAATATCCCCGATTTTGAACGCTGCCATTCCGGACCATTCGAACGTTCGCTCTTAGTCCTCTTACAGAAGAGAAATTTTGGCGCTAATATTTAAATTGCAAATATATAATGCCTAGGTGCACGCTTTCAAAAAACCAAGAAGGTTATTAAACTGCGCTCTAAATTCACGCAGTGACCGTTCACGTTTTGCCTTTTTAGGAAGTAAAAAACAGAAAGAGTGCCGGCAGATGTTTTATTGATGAAACGTACCATCCAAAAGAAGCGTGTAGCCTCTGCTGTCACATGCGTGTGTTTACGACATGAACGCGTTTTATACCACCGCACTATAAAAGCCGACACCCCATGCTCGTAAGAAAGGTAGGGTAGTATAGATAATGCAAGCAATGTACGAGGGGAAAGAAAGTACAGGCAGTAAGGTGCTTATATGTCTACCTTTATGACTATATAGCGACCACGTGATGTCTACGTTACGCTTTTCACGAGCATCTCACTTTCTTAATGAGTTCTATTATGGCGTAAAATATCCGCATTAGATATAAGGTGCGATACAACACTAATGCTATACCGTTCTTCAGAGATCACAGCGTCAACTCGTATGTTGGAAAACCGGGCGCAAGCGGAACGCTCATGGAAGCAACAATAACTACGACGGAAACTATACAATATTAGCCGAGATAGCAATGTAACTCCTACAATAATTAAGTTACAGGTTCTTTAAGGTATATTACTTGCACTGCAAATTACAGCTGACCAATAGTTATGACGTTGTATTACAACCATATTACTAAAAATATGTCATCACTGTTCTCATAATAAAATATAAAAAAAAGAAAATGATTGCTTCTTGCTCCCATAGAATCCTTCCACTAGTATAATTAAGTGTTTTTACAGGTTTCTTAACAATTGGTAATATGGTGTGGTCGCAGAATTCGAAGGATGCACTTCAGCCCAATAATCACCCGCTTCCCCGAAAGAAGTTGTATCTTAGTTATGGCTCAGTGGCGGAACATGACACGTAATTCGCCGGGTTATGGCAAATCGTATGTAAAAGACATAATTACGCAAGTCATCTCATCATGCCCTACTAGAGCTGCTTTTCCCACCAAGATATTTCAAATCTCTGTGGTGAGTTAGCCCAACAAGCCCAACCAATCTATGTCAAACGAGAAAAACTGCAGGTACACTAGCCAGGGCATGTTTTTCAGAAATGTGGGCACAGAACATGTTACAGTTATAGCAGTTACAGTTATAGATGGCTCTGGTGCTCACAAAGATTGACATTTGTTCCTTTATTTTTCAATTTCGCCCATACATAGAAAAAATAGTCAAGCACCAAGCAGTCTCTGAGAAATAATAACTCCAATCTGGGTGTCGGACGCGACGTAGTCGAGTGGCAGTGTTATCGTGGGTCACCATGAAATAAAAACCAATATCAGTTCTCACGCAGACAGTCGTTCGAATTTCTCGCATATCTATTCTGAACATGGGAATGCGTTGCTTCGGGCAGTATGAAAAAGAATAGACACAGCATTCGTGACACATGACCTCTGTGTTTTCCTGAAAATTTAACCTTATTGGGAAGTTATTGCACCACCCATGGAAACTTGAGTGCATTTATCCTCTTTTCCTTATTATTCGCCGCATTAACCTTATACGATACGCTTTGGGTCAGACTATGCGTATTCAATACAGTGGTATACAATATATATTGCTGCGTTGCGAACTTGAAACTGTAGTTTGTTTTTTGCCAAATCAAAGTGCCACAAAGACATAGTGAAACCAATGTTCACAAGCGCTCGTCCAATTTTATTGGGGCAAAATGAAGTTATTGGTCACCGACACCGATTACAGCAAAACTGATCACCGAATTGAAACAAGGCATGTTGCATGTAGCTGATCTTGACTCAGAATCAATCATGGTATCACCGTGGTTTCGCACCCTGTTTAGGCGTACTATATGTATTGAACTTATATGCTAAATGTATTTGGCGGAAGAAAATGCAGTCTGACATTAGGTTGGCGTATACGGTACTCAGACTACGTGCTCACCAATTCCGATATTTCGAATAATCATTCTAATATTGTTCTACCTGATCCTGTACACTAATTAGTAGCGCATATTAAAAACACTGGTTGTTCTTTGCAATATTTTTCGAGTAATCAGCACTAACAGAAAACTTCAAAGTAACAACAAAAATAGATTACCAAGGCAGCGTTTTTCTTGTTTTAATTATTGAATAATGAAAGTGCATGCAAGGTATCATTTTAAAAAACTTTTTATGGTGCACTAATTATAAATGGAGCTTGTAATATTTAAAGTTGCACTGTCACCGAAGCAAAAGTTCCCGTAGTCTGCTGTGCTTATAGTGAGAATCATGCTATCGGGTTATCAAACATTAATTTATTTGCGTCCGATCTATTTAAAAGATGGTGACAAAGTGCTGTCTTAAACATTGAAGTGACCGCTGTGTTTCTAACTACCAATACAAATTATCGCGCAGGAGGTCACAGCTTTTACGATCTTACCCCAGTGTATTAAACTGTAGGATTTTTTTCCACGTTTGAGGTTAATCGTAATGTTCCTTTCGTATTATTTGTAAACATTTCTTACAAATAAAACCTTGCTTAATTCTCAAACTGTCCTGCAAATGTCTGCCTTACATTCGGAAATTATTTCAATAGTACTCCATTTTCATTCATATTTGATTCGTTGTCGTATTTATTCCATGCGCAGCTCAACTCGGTCCTAAAATTTACTATTCGCTCACCCCTAAAATTGTCTTACTCGTCTGTCAAGCGCGTCAAAATTGTCAGTTTATTTTGTCTCGTGGATTTACACTAACGCGATGCAACGTATACACATGATCGAAACAATAAGACACAAACAAAAATACGAGTACACTTCATATTTACCATTCCATGACACTTCTGGAAACGCCTCGCACGGGACATCTCCGTTGCAGGAACTCTCGTCTGTCATTTCTTCTTCTTCTTTCCTCCTTTTCTTTTTGGTAAAGAGTAGTGCAATACCTCCCTTGCCCAGTTCAATGACTTTTGGTTTTTATAACTATTGACGCGCGTCCACTAGAGAAAGAAGACATCGATAACAAAGAACTGAGTTACGTCGAACCTTTCTCGCAGCTTTGGGATGGTAAACAAGATCGATCCGGATCGCGGCGAATCTTATCAGCCTCCGCGCACACTCTCCAAGTACGCACGATCTCACACATCCGCGTTTTTTGCAACAGCGAACGTCGTCGACAAGTCCGCCGCCTTGTAATGATAGGGTGGCTATAGAAGTGGGAGCTGGAACAAACACGGCCGTCGGCGCGTCAACTGCGTCAAACTGTGACTTGTGACAATACGGCTGGTGGCGCGCGCGTCGCATCTCCGATGCCGCCGCGGCAACTTCGCTGCTGCCTGAACCAGCGAGAAAGCGTGGTTGGCTCGGTTGAATCCGGCTGAACCATGTCGGTTCCATTGGTTACCTTTCCTTTTCGCGCTTCGCAATTATACTTTTTTTGCTGTGTGATAACTTCTAAACTACCTTGTCTTTTCCGCCATAAGCGGTGGCAAATCGTGCGAAGACACACCGATCTTTTTTGCGCTGGATTGCACAAAAGGCTGTCTCGCTACTAGATAAGTAGGAAAAAGAAGACACGTGCTTTCATGGTGCCTAATGAAGATTAGACATTTTAAGCCTGACAACAGTCACAGTGTTTACCATGGTAGTCAAAACTTAGCTTGAGAGTCCACCAGGCATTCAAGTGTGTTTTATGTATGTATGTATGTATGTATGTATGTATGGTATGTATGTATGTATGTATGTATGTATGTATGTATGTATGCATGCATGCATGTATGTATGTATGTATGTATGTATGTATGTATGTATGTATGTATGTATGTATGTATGTATGTATGTATGTATGTATGTATGTATGTATGTATGTATGTATAAAATTTGTGGTGATAGACTGGCCAGCGTGACTTTTGATTACAAAGCAAGGGCGGCTACCGCCGTACAAAGACTTTAGGGGTGGTACCGTCACTCCCACTCGCCACTACCACCTTCATCTCAACCCGCTGAACTTCGAGCCATGATGTAGGAAAGGGGGGCGTTGCATACAATTATGATGGTACGAACTTCTGCGGGCCTTTGACACAAGTGTCACACGGACACTTTCGATCGCGCTCAGGACTGGTAAGAATCAAGTTCAGTTGAGAGGTTAGCAAAGTCCCGATTAAAAGTGAGCATGCGGAAGCATGTTAGACTGCATGTCGAGTCAAACGTACAATAAAACTTGACCATGTCAGCTCCTCGGCGCTGTCGGGTCCATCCTCAACACAGTGTCGTCCATAGCGGTGCATGAAAAAAAAAATAATGACTTCATGAAACACGCAGCTACACGAATAAGAAAGGGAAGAAATAAAGAAGAAGCAGAAATGGCGTCACGAAACAAGAACAAAA